GCCCAACTCACAGACTCCTATATACTGGGCGGCGCTGGGAGCCGCGACTTTATGCAGTCATGTGCCACGGGAAGGCCCGGGGAACAGTTTGAAACCGGTGTGGACAAGCGACCCGAGCCTCAACCACCGATTACCGCGACGACAGTGTCGAAGCTCTACAGTCCCGCGTGTGCTACAGTGCAACCAGTGATGGTGAAAGCATCAGAAAAGGTTGCACCGCTCTGCTTACCTGAGGTCGATTCTCCTATCGAGAACAGCGACAGTTCCCCGCTGGCAGACACCAAATGAGCGTGTTACTGTTTAGGATGTAGCTCCCTTCTCCTCGCCACTCAGAAACACATACACAGACCATTTCAATCTGCTGCTACCGCTGCTGCTACTGCTTTCCTTGGTAAGTACAGACTTACTAGACCCCTACTTCCCTGTAGAAACCATGACATACTGAGATTGCTTAAAGACTCCTGACACCCTTATTCCGAAAACCCTACTTTGTGTAAAAACCCCTCTGTCTACTGTGTTGCCAAAACATACTCAGAAAAACCAAAAACCGGACTGATTAAAGTAGCAACCGAAATGAGAGGATCAAGTTGCAGAAATACGGTGGGTGAATCGCAAATGCGAAAAGTCATGCGAATGCGTCACATCATTCATGACAGGTTGGCTGATGGAAGTTTGAGGTGTACTTATGTGTGCGTTGAATCGAGAGAAAAAAAGGTTCAGGTTCAAAATGGCTGGTCTTTCGGGAATAAAGGCATCTAAGAGTTGAATCCTAGTTAGCTGGTACGTTGGTGCTGCTCAGTATCTGTGCACAATTTCAGGCAGGGCGGGAACCGGTGACAACTTGTAGCATGGGCATTCAAATGTGCACTAATCATGAAATGGACTAGCCCTTCCCACGTCCCCCCCCCCAAAATTGGTTTATTAGAAGTATCTACAGACTAGCGTATTGTGAGGGCATTTTCCAATCAGATTGGATGGTTCTGCAGAAAATATCTTAGCAGTAAGTTTTGCCTTGGAAAATTTTAATCGGAGAATATTTTTTTACTTTCATGCATTATAGTTAATAGGGTCTAGGGCCGCGTTTGGGTTCAAACATTTCAGCCTTTTGATCGTTAGCGCAGAACAGACCATCAGACAACAGATGTGTCCGCCCCACAAGCATGTGGAAAATTATTGACTGTCTTCGCGTAAATTATTGTGCAGCCTAGGAAAATAGTCAAGAAACGTCTTGAAACTACCCTGCGATTAGAGAAAGAGAATCGAATATGTACCTCTCTGAATGAAAAATTGCGGAGTGGTTAATTAAAGAACAGGTGAGTTACACAAGTATAAGTGACCCTCTTATTGATGAGGGGGCAGCCCGTACAAGAATTTGACCAGCACTGTTACTAGCACAACCAGCACCACAGACGAGACTAGTATCAGGGCCCAGATTGACTATAACTGTCATTGTAACAGAAAACGCATATAATTCAGTTGACCCAATGTGAAAAATTCGCGGCCTCGGTGGGAGTCGAACCTATACAGCATGGGAAGGATTTTGCGCAGCCAACGCGCTACCACTGAGTTACGAGGCTCACCGTCAGCCGTGAATTTAATCATACTTGGATCGATTTTACCCGCCCAGCCTACTGCTCCGATGGAATCCACCATTAAGGATACAGTAAGCTGATTGCCCAGGCAGGATTTCCTAAGCAGTCATTTAGAATCCATCAGAATGACTACTAGGCGCACTTAACTCTCAGGGGGTTTGGCAGATTTGCTTAATTCAGTTGACCCAATTGTGGCAAATTCGCGGCCTCAGTGGCAGTCGAATTAAGCAAATCTGCCAAACCCCCTAACAAAGATATACAATTTAAGACCAAAAACTTAACGACCGAGCAATAGCGATCGAGGAGACGAATAGATAAAGCTCAAATGTCAATGTCGAATTTGGTGGAATGCATGAGAGAGAGGGGGGGGATTCAACTCTCCGGCGCAGATACTGTCATAGATGGCTCGACGTAGCAGCTATTAGCGCGGAATAGCTACCACGATTCGACTGAGAACGCCATTCGAATGAAAAAAATGTTCGTTAGGAAAAAGAACAGGAATGAAAAAAAAACGCTGTCATTGTGAGAGCAAACTCTCAGGGAAAATTTATTCTACGCTAAAATATTGACAGTAAAAATGGGGGCGGTTTTTGTGGTTGATAATTTTGCTTGGAGCGGTAAAGGAAGTAAACTGGGAGATAGAATTAAGGTCTACGTAATGGGGCTTTTACTCGAAAATGACATAAATACGCAAAAACGTCATACAGTCTGCAAAAAGTCAGGAAAGATGATACGCTATCCCTGCCGCAAAGATAAGCGTTCTGTTTTCGACAAACCCAGTTCTACTATTCGTGGCAAAGGAAATCAGCCACCAGCTCCGATTACCACTCCCTGTGCTTACTTTTTGCGCTTGCCCCTGTGGAGTAAGATACGCTAATCGAAAAAGTGGAGGGATGAGCACGCAGGCTACAAAATGCCAGGAGACATGACACACCAGTCTTACCCTCCAAGGTTCTGTTTTCGAAAAACCTAGTTTCACGATCGGCAGACCCTGTGGAACAAGATAGGCTGCGCGAAGAGTGCATGTATGGTCAAGGGAAAGCAAGAACATCCACTAGGGTGATGAAGAGGTAAACTGACACCTGATCATGGGGCAGAAGCCGGCCACCAGATGGAAGTTAGTGCAATTGTCAACGAGGCCTAAAAAGCGAGAGATAGCCACCCGAAGTTGTTAGAGCAGCGCTTAAGAGACCCAGGGGATATAAGGGCAATCAGATCGTGCCCACAGATTCTGTGTGCACAGATGAGGTTAGCTGTAACCCAAAGCTAATTAACCATTTTCCCATATGGAATTGTTTGCGCAATAATTGTTTACAGATGCCCAGCAACCGTGGCATATTATACACACTGGCCTGTCTGTAAAACATTCACTGGAAAGCGCATAGACCTGGAGGAAATTGCACCAGTGGTCTGACAAGAACTGAGCAAGAGCATAGTTGTCAACTAGGGAGATTTACAGAAAGAAGTTCCTCCACAACAGTGAAGC